CAGAGTCCCTGACAGAGTAAGTGGCATCCAAAGGACACAGAGGATCCCACAGTCCTTTCTGTGGGGAGTAACCTCAATGACCTAAGCACCTCCAACTAAGACTTACCTGCTAATGGCCCACACCACCACCTTAATGACCCCAACATGTAATCCTCTTGGGAACACAAACAATATTTAAACTACAGAAAGAGAATTCCCTGGGACCTTTGGAGAATGACATTTCTGAAAATATTTTTCCAAAATAGTAGGAACAATTTTAATTCAGAAATATGTTTTACTAACATATTGTTTATTACCTTACAATGAGAACAAATATGTGGATGATGGGAATACATGTTTCAACAACATGAATCACTGAAAATTCACACAGAGACATGGACCTAAAGATGTTATCTTGAAAGAGATTATGGAGGCTATGCCATTCAACAAAACCTATTTCCAATTAAGCACTAGTTGTACTCTAAATATGCCAGGCATAGGAGAAGGAAACACTAATGAGGTTAACCTCATGGCAAGTCTCTAAACTTGACCAATCTTTTATAAAGGAAGGAACAATTCAAAGACCATATTCTGTGGTATGAATGCATAATCTTCACTTAATCCAATATACCTTTATTGGGGCCTCTGAAAACTCTTAAGCCCTATATGTTCTGACTGGACTTCGATAAAGACATCAGGTCTAAGAACCCGAGAACATCTTGATTTTAATGTGGTAGGAACTTTGTCTTCGTATTTTGTGTTCTCAAAATTCAGCAGACTTTGTTAAAGGCTAGCTATATCAGAGATTGAATGAATAAATCCGTGATGTCCTACTGGATCTACAGTCAGCTAAGAGAACATCTTGGCCACAGCTGCTCAAGGAGTTCTAGTTATGACACCAAGAACCCTTCAGAATACAGAATGATGAAGAGAAAATGTGCAGTTTGGTTGCTTGAGACTCAGTTTAAAAGGAGGATAATGATTGCACAAGTTAATTCCATTGGCCCTCAACTTGTTTTGATTTAGTCTAACATGCAAGATAATTTACTTTTTGAAGTTCAGTTTCTCTCCAAGGAATTTTGATGGAAGAAATGCTATGTTGAACTGTGGGGTTTCTCTACATTATATTTTATTGTTACTAAAATACACTTGTGCATTCTATTATTGGATACTGAATGTGGCAGTTATTTTTACTGCAAAATCTGTTATGTTAAATGATATAACAGACATAGTTGATATCATAAAAAGAACGGGGAGTTATTTTCCAGATCTGGAAACAAAGTAATCTTGGAATTAATTTAGTTAGCAATTTTCCTCCATTTTGCAAGCAGAAAGTCCAACAGTATAATACAAGCATATGGTGAGAACTCTGGGATACTTTGCCTCATGACATTGATAGTAAAGTTTGGTGTGCATCTGGAAACAAATTGGTATATCTTAAATCAGAAACTGAGAGAGATTTGGGCCCTACTATACTTACTTCCTGAAGGCATGCCGCCAATGACTCATGGGAATTTGGATATTCAACTAGGCCCACCTATCCAACACTGCCCCTCAGGTCATCAAGTTGCCTACACATGGGTCTTGGATGGGACAAAAGTCATATTCAAGCCATGGTACCACATTGGTAGCCAGCAGGCCACATTTTTTTTCAAGACACGACTTTCATAATGTGGGGATGGTTTTTATATAATGGTATGCAATGGGGTGGGGTTGTATATGGTGTAATCTTCTTGTATAACTTGAATATTCACTTAATATTGAGTCTAGTGGTAATTTCTGCTTCATTTCATCCCTCAGTTCTCAATATGAGTTGTTCAGTTTAGGGGAATTTTAAATAAAATTCTCTAATGGGAAATGTGTGGCTCACTTTGTTGCTCCTTCAACTTTCACTAACTCTGGATGGACATATGTCACTCTGCTCTGTCCGTCTGTGTTGGAAATTTGATGAGAAAGTTCACACAGCACAAGACTGGTGGAGTTCAGTGTCAGGTGTTCCCATTCTCACACCAGTGCTTAATTTTTTTAAAGACACTTGTCCATAAATGCATGTCATATTCTCTAATATTAATTTTATCTACAACAGAGTACTGGAAGGCCATCTGGCCTTTTGAAAGACCTGTGTTCTTAACCAGCCTGAATTTGAAGGAAGAAATATAACTAAATAATTGTTCTCCAAATGATAAAGGGCAGTTAGGTACTTTTCAGTTAAAAAAAGAAAATGAGGACATTTGTCATTTCTCAGAGCATGTCATTTAGTCGAGTGGAAAAGAAAAAGAATGTCACTCATATGAATGCTAGAATCTAAAAATACATTTTCACAAGGAAATACAAATGTTCTCAATTTGAGGGGATGAATGACTAGGAATACCCTAAGTGACTGATTAAAATGATGTGGAAAGTGTTTAGCCGTGCTTCAGGGATCTTTAACTCTTTCTTGTAGCCCTGGGACTATTCTGCCTATAGCTGCATGTGATCCATCCCACTTTGTCACAGAATGTCTGTTCTTTGCATTTCTACACACACTAAAACACGGGCTGTTACATGCACGTCTGATTCACACTGAGCACTTAAGGCTGAGAAAGCAGAAGAGAAACCACCTTGCCAGGAAGAATATGGGGTTAATCGGGCCCACACAAATGGGTCGCCTTCCCTCTGCAGTGGTAGCAGTTTTACAGGGTATGGAAAGGAATGAATACACTAAACATACTAGGTTTTTCATTTTGGAAAACTTCTCCTAAGAGAGAAGCTTGTAGGGACTACGGCACTGTCTTCAAGTGTTTCTGAAGAAGTTTGTAGAGAGGGTCCTGAAGGCAATGGAATAATGAGTGGGTGGAAATTACAAGTGGGGCTATGTTGGCTTAACCTCATGATAGCAATTGCACTCATTTTGTCTTGGTAACAATAAGCTGGGCCACCCCATGGTGCTGACATTCAGATGGTTCTCCTACAAGCTGAAGACTCACACCACACCCAGCTGAAACTCCAGGAATTTAGGAGTCTGTGAGCATTTTTTTTCTCCCATAAGAAGACACAGACACTTTGCATTCAATTTTTTGACAGAGAAAAAATTTAATATATTTTATCTTATTATACATTTCCCCTAAATTACAAAGTCGACAGCTGCAAATATATTCTGCTACAAAGCTTTCTGTAAGAAACATCTCTATAAGAAAATACATCTCATTAACATTTCCTGTAAATAAATTATTTCAAATAATAATTTTTGAGAGGGTGAATATAAGGGAAATAATGTGGAAGCTAGATTGTGTTATTCCTATATAGGAAATTCTGACCAAAAGGTTACATTTTTTTTCATATCACCAAGCTCATATAACAAATTTGGGGTTTTGGATGAATTAGCTTATGTTTTGTTGTTGTTTGCTCTAGCAAAGCATGTGGAGCACAAACTATCCCCATCCTGGTGAAATGTGTGCTGGAAGCTGAAACTCTGCAGGGGCTGAACTTTGAGTTTGCACATGGGATTTCAGTAACACAAGAAAGTGATGTGGGGTCTACAAGATCCTAAGTGATGGCACAATAACCTTTTTTTTGTAGTTTATGTTCTAGACATAATATTTAGAACTTTTTAAAATCAGAAAGAAGTAAAGCCACTTAAGAGAATTTCTATAGATGAGAGATAATGTTGATTTCACTTGTTACTACTTTTTAACTCTCAATGGTTGCAGAAAATAGAAACTACATCTTTGGCAACAAAATTCCATTGAGTGGCTAGTATAGAAACTTCTGAAGGCATCGTCAGTCCAAAGCTTAGGGAGGACATTGGTTTAAGGGAGGACTGGCTTAAGAGAACTCATATTAGAGAGCCCTTCGTATTAAATTATTTTAGAACCTCGAAACTATAACATAGTTTGAGGTTAGGGAGGGCAAGTTGCATGGCACTGAGCTCATCTGCTCAAGTATCATAAGAAGAGCCAACCCTATGGAGAGCTTCAAGTTCACTTGTGGGGTTTCTGGTGTCACACATACAAATTCAGCCTGTGGGCCGGGCAGTGGTGGCACACGGGAGGCAGAGGCAGGCGGATCTCGCTGATTTTGAGACTAGCTTGGTCTACAAGAGCTAGTTGTAGACCAAGTCACAGAAAAACCCTGTCTCGAAAAATGAAAAGAAAAAAGAAGTGCTTCAGACATTTGATCATAAAGCCTGCTCAAATGATGAGTTTTCCGCTGCTTCTCTGCTGTGCTCCACTCAGTACAGGTATCACTCAAGCCTCTAGTGTCAGCCTTGCCCTACCGTTCTCCAGCTATGCAAAGATAAATGTATTTAACAGTCTAGTTCTATCACATGCAGGGCATGTCAAAGCTTTGGAAAAACAGTACTTCCTCCATTATGCAGTTTCCCACACGTGTTGGACATCTTTAATGATTTTGCAACCTGTGAAATTCTGGCCTGTGCTTGTACTACACAATTGATAGCTCTAGCTTAGGTAGGGATCACATTTGAGATACAAATGTCATTCCTTCACAGTGCAGGATCTGTTTTTGTCCTACATCTGTCTTTATTAATTCAGGTGAAATTAACTTTTTGAGAAAAGAAATGAGTGGTGTGAGGAGACACATGTTTATCTTTTTCTAAGGTCTAAGAAATGCCTGCATCTGGAAGTGATATGGAAAGTATTGATGGCCTTTTTCTCTTGACTACCAAGGCCTTCATTTGAAAAGTCAAAGCAGAGCTCCAAAATAAAGGTGACTTTCTGTGATGTAAATTAACGATGTTACATATTTTCACTTCCTATTTATCATAGTTTCTTTGTTTTAGAAATTATCTTATGTTATCTATAACTTTGAGTAGAAATATGGCTTTAGGTTATTTTTGTAGCCATTTGCAATCTGAAGGAAATATCCCCTCTAGCTCAAGCCAAACTCTTGGAAAAATCACATGGTGTTTGTCAGTCATTCCCATGGTGTGCTTTCTTTTAATAATAGCATCTTCACAAATGTGTACATTATTTACATGAACAGTTGCATAATGGAAACACCGTCTCTACTTCATTCAGTCCCACTTCTCTCTCATGCTCCAAATTCTTACCACATCCCTTGTCCTCCTGCATTCCAAACTGGATTTTCCATCATGCCATAATGCATTAAATACACAAATTCACAGTCTGCTAGTGGTAACTCTCCCAGTGTTTGTCAGATCTTCTGGCACACGTGGAGTCTGGCTTTGGAGGAGTAGGTAGCATCTTTCCACACTTTGCAGGACAGGCCCTTTGCACAGTCACACCTCTGGAAAATCTCCAGCCCATGAGAACCCTTCTTGCGTTGTTTGGTGCAGACTTCCCCCTGATGGAGTACTGGTTTGCAGATTTTGGTCCAGAAGTGGCGAGCACAGCAAAATCCATCAATGCAGTCTGATGATCGCAGACAGGGGTCTCCTTCGTGTCCTACAGAAAACATGAACCAAAAAGAGTACAAGAGTGCTTGACAGCAATTTCTACTTTACAATCAGAATCGCAGAAAATTCTTTCACTTATATTATCTTGTACTGGGTTGCCACTTTTAATAAAAAGTCTTAGATTCAAAACAATTTGTTATCACTTTAATTCTCATAAGTCTGTTTTTCTCTCATTCAATTATCTACCATCTGAATATGGCATTTATATGAACAGCTAGACTGTGTTTATCTTCAGTCTCTCATAGTCTAGTTTTTTCTATTTCTCTCTCTGTATATTAATGTGTGTAATATATATACATATATATGTATAAATATATATATGTATATGTATGCATGCATGCTTTTTACTTGTGTGTGAGTGCATGTTTGTGGGGTTGTGCAAGCACACGGGCACTTGTGAATGTGAAGGATGGAAGGTGATGCTGAAAATCCTCTTCCATCACTCCCCCCACCTTATTCTTTGAGGTAAGGCCTCTTAAGCAAACCTAGGGCTAGCTGATATGGTTAGATTTGCTAGCCAGCTTGTTCTGGGGATCTCCTGTCTCAGTTTTTTTGAGCCTGGAATTAATTACAGACAAGCTGCCACGTCCCACCCAGTACTTACAGGGCTTCTGAGGATTGGAACTCCTGTCCTCATGTTTGCAAGACAAGCAGTTTTACCATGGAGTCAACTCCCCAGCCTGTACTTCAGTAGTTTCCTGACGATTTTCCCCCATGCAGGGGAAAGATTGGCTTCAAACTAATGACCTTGATGTCATTTCACAGGTGTAAGCAAAGGTGTGACTCAAGAATGCTGAAATTCTCAGAGAATTTTGATATCATTTATCAGTTGGGTCCAGGCGTCAAAGCAGAATTATTAGCACAATTATTAGCAGGGGAAAGATTGGCTTCAAACTAATGAACTTGATGTCATTTCACAGGTGTAAGCAAAGGTGTGACTCAAGAATGCTGAAATTCTCAGGGAAATTTGACATCATTTATCAGTTGGGTCCAGCCATCAAAGCAGAATTATTAGCACAATTTATTTAATACAGAGAATGGGTCACTAGTGTGATGGCTGAACTAAAAATTGTAAGAGATGGATCAGCTGCATGAATCTTCTACCACATTTAGGCTGAGAGACCCCCACGGAGCAGGTGATGTTAGCATCCCGGGGCTAGATCCACTAGGCAGAACCTAATAGTCCCACCTGGAAGCAACTGCAGGTTGAAGGAAACACAGTCATACCAGAGCACCAGTGGAGGCAATGAGAGGAGTGGTTTAAACCCAGGCAAATGCTTCCGACAAGGACTGGTAGGGAAAACACCCTACAAGAAGCTGTGAGACAGAACAGAGCAGAGAGATGACAGACAGCTGAGATCAGAGCCATCAGACTCAGGCGCAACCAGAAACTTACTTAAAGCATGATAGCAGCACTATTTGTAATAGCCAGAACCTGGAAGCAACCTAGATGCCCTTCAACTGAAGAATGGATGGAGAAAATGTGGTACATTTACACAATGGAGTACTACTCAGTGGAAAGGAAAAAACAAAAACAAACAAAAAATTGAATCTTGAAATTCACAGGCAAATGAATGGAACTAGAAAAAAACATCTTGAGTGAGGTAACCCAGTCACAAGAAGACAAACATCATATGTACTCACTCATATATGGTTTTTAGGCATAGAACAAAAAGAATTATCAGCCTACAATCCACACTGCCAGAAAAGCTAGGAAACAAGGAGGGCCCTAAGAGAGACATACATAGTCCCCTGGAGAAGGGGAAAGGGACAAGATCTCCCAAGCAAATTGGGAGCATGGGGGAGGGGAAAGGAAGTTAGGAGAAAGAGTAGGGGAGAGGTAGGCGTGAGGGGCCAGGAAGATTGACTGAGGGAAAGAATAGAGGAGAGCAAGAAAAGAGATACCATAATAGAGGAACCATTATAGGTTTTAAGAGAAATCTGGCACTAGAGAAACGTCCAGAGATCTACAGAGATGACCCCAACAAATAATCTAAGCAACAGTGGGGAGGCTACCTTAAATGCCCTTCTCCGATAATGAGATTGATGACTACCTTATATGCCATCCTAGAGCCTTCATCTAGTAGCTGATGGAAGCAAAAGCAGACACCCATAGCTAAACACTGAGCCAAATTCGTGGAATCCAGGGGAGTTCTTGGACTCCAGTCTGATAGCTAGGAGACCAGCCTAGGACTCACCCAGATTCCCTGAATGTGGTGTTAGCCTGGACAGTCTATGGGGCCTCTGGTAGTGGATCAGTATTTATCCCTAGTATATGAATGCACTTTGGGAGCCCATTCCACATAGAGGGATACTCCCTCACCTGACACATGGGGAAGGGCCTGCTCCAAATGATATGACAGACTTTGAAGACTCCTCATGGAAGGCCTCACTCTCCCTGGGGAGCAGCAAAGGAATGGTATGGGAGTTTGTGGGGAAGGGGCAGGGGAGGACGGGATGGTGGGGTAACTGGGATTGGCATGTAAAACAAGCTTGTTTCAAATTTAAATGGAAGGTATTTAAAAAAATATCTGATGTGCACTTACTGAAACATTAAGTCACCAAATAGTGCCCTCCCACACACATCTTGTTATCATTGATTTGTACTTCAGTATAAGGCAGGGGTTGTCAAACTTTTGTGTTAGTTGCCTGAATGCAAACACAGTAAGACTCTGAGACTAAATGATCTGTTACAGCTCCTCAGTTTTGTTGTACTGTAAAACTCAGCCATAGAAGAGACCTATACGAGTAGGTAAGTCTGTGGTTTTATGAACCATTAGTTAGAAAATTTGGTGATGCAAATTTGGTTCAAAGTCCAAAATTATCTAGCTTCCTAGATGTAACTATTTCCACTGCAAAATGTTGGTGCAACTCACTAGCCATGCAACACAAGATTTCTTTCTATTTGCACTCAGTGCATTTCATATGTGGTTGTATTGAAATACGTGGTAGATTTGTCAATAGTGTCATGATTTAGATACCTATTGGAATGAGGAAGGACACACATAATGGCAATTATATAGTGATTTGAACACACAGAAATAAGAGGCATGGGAAATAATCCAGGGTCTTGGTAGGTGCAGCATCATGACTTACCAGATCTCTGCAGCTCATCAGTAATTCCTGAGAACAAGGAGATGCTCTACTACAATGTTTTATGGAACACGGGGCACTTTTAAGCATCTTAAAAGAGGAATACTTCTCAGATACACACGGGGAAGGCCTCCTTTGAGTATAAGTGTGTTTCATGCCAGCAAAATTTGCTATTGGTAAAATGATGTCCCACTATTCAAGTTTGCTATTGGTGAGTGGGAGGAAGAAGACTTTATAGTGATATATCACCCCACTATCAACCAACTCTTTCTCACGGATTGGTGTGGTTAACTTGTCATTTGATTACTTAGAGAAATCAACTTCCTGAGTCTACAAAGGTGAAGACATGGCTATGAATTTCATCTCCAGCAGCAATATTTCCTCATGCATTTTCCACAGTGCTTTATTCTCTGATAGGTTTGAACCATACAGGTTTGTTTAGGTTCCTTCTCAATGTTCATATGAAAGAAGAGGCATGCTTAGACAATGGCATGGAAGGTCCAGCCACTGCCTTTCCCCTGAGATATACTTTCCAACAATTCTATGAAATCTCTAGTATTTTCAAAATTAAAAATCAATAAACTCAATTTAAAATTGCCTGTTAATGAACATTTTGATGATGGGTTTATAGGATCAAAATGAATTATCTATCTATCTATGCATGGTGGTTGGAAAGGAAATGGCCTCCAAATGGAGTGGTACTTTTAGGGGGTGAGTCTTTGTTGGAATAGGTGTAAGTCTTGTTGGAGGAGGTGCTTCACTATGGAAGTGGGCTTTGAGGCCTCAAGATAGCATCCAGTGTCAGATCACTTCCTATTGTCTGTGAATCAAGATGTAAGAACTCTCAACTCTTTCTCTAGCACCATGTCTGCCTGCATGATGCCTTGATTTCTGCCATGATGATAATGGACTAAACCTCTGAGCTGTGAGACACCACAATTAAATGTTTTCTTTTATAATAGTTGCTGTGGTCATGGTGTCTCTTCACAGCAATAGAAACACCAAGACACTGTGTTTTCTTTTACTTTTTTGTAAAAGAAAGGAACTATAAGCAAACATGAAAGTATAAGTAGTCCTACCTTTTATATGAGACATCTTAGTGTGTGGCCTTCCTAGATTCTGCCATCCCAGGTCATGGTTGGAATAGTGACCATGGTTCCGATCTCTATGCCGAGTGCCATCCAGAGCTGGAATATGAGGGGTCAGGATGCTCTCAGTGACTGGGATGCAGATGCCTGGAAATGAGGATTAAACAGATCTGGTCAACTCTATAATTTATAATGTCCATCCTGATCTGTGTTAGGAAGACATTTATTTGTCTATTTCTTAATCTACCTATTATGTATCTATCTTTTGATCTGTTAGCTCATGTATTCAATCACTTCCTTATTAATGATATAATATTTTGGCTCTGAAGCCAAGCTTCCTAGATATGAACTTTTCCTTTTAAATATCAAATGACACTGCAAACAACAACAAATGAGGAATAAAAACTGAATTATTTTCTTCAAATTATTGTAAATACATACAAAATACTTAGAATAGCAACATGGTGAAGAATTAAATTGGTGTCTACTATTTCTTTTCTTTTAAGGCTACAGATTATTTGTACTTGGTGGGCCAGTCACCCCATCACCTAGTATTCCCCTCCTAGGAATTCTTCAATATAACAACTATAATATAAAACTCTTGTAAACATGGTCAAGGAACTCACACCTATGCTACTTGTCTTGATATTTATATGTTTAACAAACAAAACTATTAGCGATTCGACACACAACACGTGAATTTTGTAAGAAGTATTAAATCACCTTTCCACAAAGGCTTATGAGAAAGAGTTCTTTTAGCACATGATGAGAACTCTTACCATTATTGCATCGGGTACCAGGGCAACACATGCCATCTCTATGGCATCGCTTCTTTTTCCTCCGACACACCATGCAGGCTGATGATCCTTGGTGGGGACTGTGGCAGTATCGTCCAACTTCGCATTCCTTATCACTACTGCAAGGGTAGGCCTGTTATCAGATAGGACAGCACAGGAAGCAATGAGTGAGGTACTTGGACACTGAGAAGGCATCAAGGCAGCAAACCGTAAGGGAAACTAAGCCATGTTTGCAATGCCTGAATGAAATACACCATTGTGAGGTGTTCTGCACATTGTTTCTCCAGGGTGACCTTAGCTGACGACTTTGTAAGTGCTGGCTTTTGCTGGTGAGAAAGATGAAACAGGCAATAAACTTTAAAGTAAAAGTTAAAAAAAAAGCACATGAATTACTCATGCATTTTCATTGGCCACCTTTGTATTTAAGGTTTATACTTCATACTCATAGACACCTGCTATAAGTGAGTATGGAGACTCAGAGGAAGGTAACTGTTGTATTGCCGCTAATTGCAGAATGCATAAGCAGCCTCACCTCTCTATTCCCAACTGCCATTGAAAGATGGAGGAAGAATGAAACAGGCAAACAATCATGTTAGAAGCTAAAACATGTTATCTGCCCAATCAGAGAGAAAACGCTTTTAAGAAAACTTACAACCCCTGCCTGTTAAGGTAAGGAGAAACTCTTCCAGAATGATTTGAGAAATACACCAAACAGCAACAGTGTCCCCAAACAAAACAAAGGACCTTGGCCTCATTCCTATCCCCTCCATGGAATGACAGCAGTGTCTGCATAACAAGAGGGATGCCAGACTTGAGTTAGTCAGAGTTCTCTCGAAGCCCAACAAGACTCTTCCATCTCACATGATCTCCTCACAGCAACTATAGCAACCATGCCTTCTGCTTGTTCAAAAAAGTCCGGTTATTAATGCATTTCTCTACCAGCAATAAGTCCTGAAAACTTCTTGAGCTGTATGTGATAGTAACTTAAGATATAAAAGTAAAATATGGACTCCAGTTATGAACATTGGCTTTTGAAGTTTTGGGGGCATTTGACATGAACATGTTCAGAGACTGTAATATCACACAGGACACTTAAACTGATAGCATTGAGATAGGTCCTTTGTTTTGGAATAAGGTTTAACTATGTAGCCTATGTTTGCTAGACCTCACCATGGACCAGACTGGTCTTAAAATTTAAAATTGTGACAATTCTCCAGTCTCTGTCTTAAGTAGTGGGATTATGAGCAAGCATTACCAGGCCTAGTCTACATTTATTTTATTATTTTTTTATGATTTTTAGAGAAATACGTTAATTTTTAACTACAAATGTAAATCATATTTTTGAGAGCTTTGATATTTGCTTTGAAGTGTGCATAAATGATAGAAGGATGAAACTGTGGATAAAATGTTTGTGTCTCTAAAATAATTATTTTTGGTTTGTGTATTCCCATTATGAAATCCCACTTGATGTCCTGACCCCACACGTTGCTTGCTTGCTTTCTTTCCTTTCTTCCTTCCTTCCTTCCTTCCTTTCTTTCTTTCTTTCTTTCTTTCTTTCTTCCTTCCTTCCTTCCTTCCTTCCTTCCTTCCTTCTCCTCCTCTCTCTTTTCTGCTACATGTTTGCCGAGTGTGTCTGACTATCTTCAATTAGAAAGAGGAAGTAGAGATGCAGTTTATGTGTAAGTCTTGGGGAAAATGGATTTTTTATCATCTTTACAGCCTCTTGTTTGCCTTTGAAAGAATAGCATCGGGAACCATTCGCCTCACTTTAAAGGCGGTTTTAAACGATTGCACAGTGGCAGTGTCCCACGTGCATGAACACATAAGATAAACTTGTATCATCAGCTTGCTTTACAGTTTCCTAAGTTGACTTTCGAGAATCTGCATGAAGCTGAATTCACAGTAGTAGGATGTTTTTCAAGAACCCAGGACTGATGAAAACCAAACAAATGTCACTTCCCGCCTTGCCACACTCTTTCCCCCCAAGCACTGTACTGTCCTCCTATTTAAACTCATTAATTTTAATTGAAATACAATTCACATGTTTCTGATTCATTTACATTCATTTCATCAAATTGTTTTGCAAGAAACATTTGATGTCTTACAAATCTTTCCTTTCTCAAAAAAAAAAAAAAAAAAAAAAAAAAAAGGACATGTTCTGTCAACAAAAACAAACATATGCCACCTAAAAACATCATGTGCCATGTACAACTCGGCAAATTGTCAAATGATTCTGTATGGACATAGTAGTGGGTTCCATCCATAAAGAGCAGACCACATTGGAGATGGCTAAATTTAGTCTACATATTCAGAAAATATTCTTACTTTGAAGAAGCAACGACTCAGGCAAACACAGTATTGAGGACGTTTTTAACATGAAATGTTACAAATGTTGTGTGCTTGGCCTGGGTGTCCTTACAAAAATTCTAGAAGGAATAGTTTGAAGATTTTAATAATTTTAAACACATACATGGCTTCTCTTAAGCTCAGAAAACTCTTGACCACTGACCACAGTAAGCTATTGTGAAGTAAAATATATGACTATTAACATATATATATTCCACGAATATTTGCAGAGAGGACATAACAATTTGAATGAAGCAATTCTGAAAGAAGCAAGTGATATTAGAAGACATGCTTTGCTTTCAAAAATCAGTGTCCCCAGCGCACAGATTTACTGAGGTGTAAGCCTGTTTTGCCTGATCATTATCAAGGAAACAAAACATAAAATGTAGGCCCACCATATATGTGTGGCAGTACTGGTGTGTCAAATCTCAGTAAAGAACCCTTGACAAGGTACTTTAACACTAACATGACGGCTCAGCCACTTGTCATTTCAGTGGTGTTCTTTTGTGTGTGTTTGTCTATCACTAAACTGTGTCACAGTAGGAGAGACAGACGAGAAACAGGAGGCCTGAAGGAGAGATGGGCATAGGCATGAATAAAGGGACAAGTGGTGAGAAAAATATACATAAGTAAAACTGCCATTTAAAAACTCACAAGGGAAAGCGTTATTTCCCATTTTACCTTGGTAAAAGGCTGTGACTTGGTTCCCACTTGATGGTAGCCTTGACTCAAGCATAAAGTTAGCTTGAAAGCCTTAGCCGAAAGTTCAATTTAATATTAACAACATGCTCATCCGGCAATTGTTTCAGAGATTTAAAAGTAAAAGGCTAAAATGTTTCTTACTACAGCAATTAACAGCACTGGATTTGCATGGCTTTCTTGACTTGGCCTTTAGGTAAAGAGACAGTGTGTGAGGGCCAGTGGCACTTTGCTGGGAAACCAATGACCAAGTGTAAGAACCCAAATGGCACCTGCATTCTCTCTCCACTAAAAACGTCTAGAACCAATTAGAAAGCCCATTTTGTCGGCATTCACAATTATTCATTATCCAGATTCAGGAATAGTTAGGATGCAAATTAATTAAGGACACCTAATAAAAGAAGATGATTAGCCAAGGATGATTAGCCATAAATAAACAATGTATGAGGGCTATCCAGGATCAAGCCCAGTCTAAAAATAGAGTAGTTTCAAAAAAAGAAAAAAAAAAAAAAAAAAAAAAAAAAAAGAACTACATTAGAGATCATTATAACCATGATAGGAGCTTGGAAAAATAGAGAACAAGAAAAAAGATATCATACTAGAGGGAGCCATAATAGGCTTAAAGAGAAATCTGGCACTAGGGAAATGTCCAGAGATCTACAAGGATGACCACAACTAACAATCCAAACAAAAGTGGAGAGGCTACTTTAAATGTCTTTCCCCGATAATGAGATTATTGACTACCTTATATGCCATCCTAGAACCTTCATCCAGTATCTGATGGAAGCAGAAGCAGAAACCCAGAGCTAAACATTGAGATGAACTCCTAGAATCCAGTTGCAGAGAGCAAAGAGTGATGAGCAAAGAGGTTAAGACTAGGCTGGAGAAACCCACAGAAACTGCTGACTTGAACATGGGGGGGCGTGGCTCATGGAGCCAGTCTGATAGCTGGGAAACCTGCATAGGACTGACCCAGATCCCCTGAACATGGGTGTTAGTTAGGAGGACTGGGAAGTCTATGGAGCCTCTGGTAGTGGAACAGCATTGATCTCTAGTATACGAATGCACTTTGGGAGCCCTTTCCACATAGAGGAATACTCTCTCAGCCTAGACACATGGGAGAGCCTAGGCCCTGCTCCAAATGATATGACAGACTTCCTATTGTCAACACTTCCAGGATAAAGGGTCTATTAATTCAGTTTTACATATAGGATTGAGTTTATTATTATTTTTAATTCTCCCATCCCTTTGAAGACGCAAATGTAACCACTAGATCAGCTGGCTGGGATCATGAAGAATATTGCTTCAACAATGACCAATGAATAGACCTTTGGACACAACCAAACCTCCCATTCTCAAAATAATATTTTTTTTCCTGTTTAATGATGGGGATTGGGGACAGGAGAGAAAGAGACAGAACCATCACACATTGCTGGCCACCCATCCGGATTCTTGCAAGATCGACCTACTTTCCTTGTTGTTTTAATCTAGACAATCCTTTGTCCCCTTGAGCACTGTTTGTAACAAGCACGGAAGTTGGCTGGAGCCAGGGAAACATCATCAGCTGGGCAGGCAGAAGAAAGCCTGTGGGGTGGGGGGTGGGGTGGGGACAACCCAGCTGTGTGAATGAAAAACATTCGAGTGGATAGGGCGGAACATTAAGGGCTGGGCATAGGAACATACCTTGGGGCTCTGAAGTCCATGCAGAGCAAGGCTGGCCGTCACAAGGGGAAAACCACAGCCTTTTCCTAAGTACTTAGAGGGAAGATTAATTCCCCAGGTTGTGACTGACACTCCATCTGATAGATTTGTATTTCCAAGAGAATATAGTATGCACTACTGCGAAGGCATCCATTTCAAAACTGTTTGGGAAAACTGCACCATAGGGTGCCGTGTGGACTATACCCCAGTCTGGCTGTGGGCAAAGGGTTCAGTGCTCATCCTAAACTTTGATTACTGTTGTTACTTCTAGGCAAGCACCTTTGAGGACTCCCGGACCAGGCTGGAAGGAATGAGCTATATTACATTCGAAAGAAAGATTCTCATGGTGTGTAGGATACAAACCTTTGGGTTCTTTAAAACAGCTGT